CTCGGGGCTCGCTTGCCTCGGTGGGCGAGCTCGCCATTCGTGGCCTCCCCTCTCCCGCCTGTGCCAGCTGCGATCCTCGATGGGCGCGGGTGGGTCTCGCCGCCCGTGCACGAGCAACCGTTCCGCCCGCGACCTGGTTGACCGCAGCATCCGCACTTCTGAAAGCCCTGGGCACGAGACTTCGCTGCCTGCGCCTGCGTCGCCGTGGGGGTGGCCTTGGCAGCATTCGGAATCGCATCCTTTGGAGGTTCAGAAGCGAAATCGTTCTGTCTGGCCCTTGCCTCGCATTGGATCTGCGAAGAACTGGCTGTCGGAGATGACGGCAACTTCGCGCGGAATGGAGTCGTCCTGCGACCAGCTGGGCGCCCCCGTGTTGGCGAAGGCGGCGGTGGTACAGCCGGAGGCGACGATCCCGTGCCGAGGCGGCATGCCATCCGTTGGATATGGTTGTGGCAAGTTCCTGAGTGTTCGTCTATTCGAGCCGAAATTGCTCGGCGCGCGTCGGAGTCGTCCGGATCGGCGAGTGGCTCTGGAAGTCGTTTCGCCAGTGTCGATGCCGGACTCGATCGATGTCGCGAAGTCGACGCGGATTCCGAGATTGCCGAACCAATCCTCTGCAATCCCGACGATGTCTCCCAAGATGCCCGTGAAGATGGCGATCGCTTCGACTTCGCCAATGTCGTGCCCCCCGGGGCCCAGGCCGGTGTAGAAGTTTCCGGAGCATAGCCCGCGGGGGGCTCGGAGGTCCCCATGAGGTACCAGGGGGGGCCGAGGATATCAGAGGGCCTATGTGATCATCTGAGTCTCTAGGAGGCTTCTCAGGAGCAGTTCGATTCTCTGTGGGTTTGTCCTGATTCTCTTTCTTCTGAGGCCCCCCCAGAACAGGTTTGCCTCGGGTCCACCAGGGGTTGCCGCCCCTAGCCCGAGGACGCCGCCGTCTCGTCCGCGGTGGGCTCGGCCGAGCTCGCGGCCTCGGGCGGGCCGGGCGCGCCCCCAAGGGCGCGGCAGTTCGCGATCTCCCGGAAGCCCGGGTGGCTCCGTGGGATGTTCTGCCACCGGGTCGGCGTCGTCACGTTGATTGCCAGGTGCCCGCCGCTCGGCATCTTCCGACACTGGTAGATGTGATTCGAGATCCTAGGCGCTGGTGTGATCAGGTCCCAGAATGTCTAGCCCGATCAGCAGCGGCACGTCGTTGTCCACGACGAAGATCTCGATCCTCTCCTGTCCTTCGCCCAGGAAGATGCTGCCGACCATGGAGCCCATGGAGCTCTTGCGCTGGCCATCACCGAATGTGAAGAATCGCGTCGTCTCGGCCAGGTCGAACTCGGTGCCAATCTCCACCTTCATGTCGAAGGCAAGGAACTCCGCCATCGTGACCCCGACGAGGCTGCGGGTAGCGCCGCGATCCAGGATCGCCCAGATGCCGTTCGTGTCGTCCGGGAGGAAGACCAGCTCGCCCAGCTCGAGGAGGGCGAAGGAGGTCGTCTCGTTGGGCTGCGGCTTGCCACGCGTCTTGTTGCTGTCAAGACAGTCCTTGGCCTGGTGCCCGTAGCTGCGGCAAGCCAGGCACCTCGTCCTGCGCCTGTCAGGCGCCGGTTCCTGGCCTCCTTCAGGTCGAGCTCCGCGCCGTGGCTCACGAGGGCGACGAGGGCGGGGCTCACGGGCTTCGGGGGGCCGTGGCGCCAAGACCGGGTAGTAGTCCCTCGCCACCTTCAGTCTGCGGATGAGGTCCCGCGCGTCCTTGAAGTTCCTGCCCATCTGCATGAACTCTGCATCTATGCCGTCCTCGGGTTCGTCATGGAGCTCAGCGTCGTCCAACATCAGCGCGTCGTCCTCGTCCGCCAAGCTCACTGGGTGGTCCACGATGTCTGCGAGCTCCGATCCATCATCGCAGCCGTGGCCGTCGTATCTATTCTCGTCCGCCTCGCCATAGAAACCCGCACGCTTCTTCTCGCGGGCCCCGTCCAGCTCCTTCAGTCCTTCCATCGGGTATCTAGTGCAGAGCACCTTGTACGTCTCGCCGAAAAAATAATCGCCGCCCGCCGTCGCCGTGATTTCCCCGCGCGCAGCAGGCGTCAGCCTTGAGCGGCGCGTCCTCCGCGGACCCTCGATGACCTCCGCCACGGAGCCGTCCACTGCCTTCAACTGTGACAGGAGGTCCCGCTCATGGACTTCACAGCGCGCTGTCCAGTCGGGAAAACCCTCACATGACTCCTGTTGGAGCTTGTTGAAGAACTTCCCTGCTGACTTCCCCATCTCCTTCGCATTGGACAGGTCGAACTTGGAGAGGAGGAAATGGAGGACACGGTTCCAACCTGTCAGCTTCCCAATCTCCGTCGCCTCGTCGATCGTGTCGATGTCGGGGCACGCCTGTCCTAGTCGCCGTGTATTTGCCCCGAGCGCCCTCGCAAGCTGGGGCCCAACCGCGTACCTGTCCTGCGTCTTATTGCTCTTGCTGGCGAGCCCGACATCGGACCTGTACGACAATAGTCTGTCGGGCTCTCCGTCCTATGTGGGAACGTCCAAGCGGAGGCCTGCTGCGCCTCCTGAAAATGACAGTCCAGTCGTCATTGTTCGCTGTGGTCTTAACCTTGGCTCCCGCCATCAATCTGAAATCGAGGGCTCGTCAGAGCCCGAATGCACGTGTCTACTCGTTGACGATGATGATGATGATGATGATGATGATGATGATGATGATGATGATGATGATGATGATGATGATGAAAACACCCGGTGCTGTCTGTGCTATGACAGGCGCCCCCGGTACGCGCCTCTCGCCCTGCTCACAGGGTTGTATAATGAATCCCGCCCACCCGCTGCCGAGCCTAAGAAGCTGCGGGAAGGGCACAACTCGTGCCGCAAGCCGACACCTCACGAATGTGTGCGTCCTAGCAACCAAAAAGAGGGCCTCCCCGACCCTTCAAAAGAGCCCCAGAATGGCTCCCAGAATGCCCTAAGTGGTTCCGAGAGAGACCCAAGATGGCTCCACGAGACCTCCGAGAAACAACTTCCAAGGCGGTTGTTGCAGCGCATGTTTCTACACTTCCCTGATCAAGGCAATTCGCGTGGCGATCTGTTTCTGGATGGGCTGGTGGAGGTACGCGAAGCGTCAAGCATGTGACACCTACAATGGGCACCGATCGGAAGCAATAGCAACTCATCTGCACACGCCAAAAAAACAACCGATATATGCAGAGAACGTGCACGAAAACCATGCCTCGAGGCGGGCCACCAGCATGCACATTTCATGGTGCGGAAGGAGCGCAATCGCTCGAACAACGTCTTAGCTTCTCCCGGCACGCAAAGCAACTCATGTCCTGGTGCTCGCGCCAACGGACTGCGACCGTGATCCGGTCGAGACCGCACGCATAAACGACATCGGTGGCTCTGTGCACCTCCAAGCGCGCACCCACTCCCAGAAACGCGCACGCATGTCCCACCAGCCCCCTGGGCGGAGGTGGGCCACGCATTTCGCCTTTCAACCCCTTCTTCCCCTTCGGGGATGGGTTTACCCCTCCCCCTCCCCCTCCCCCTCCCCTTGGATCTGGACGGAGGGTGTCGCCCGGCGTTGGAACGTCCATGGCCAAGCATCGCTCCAAGATGGCGGAAGGGAACCCGCTATGACCTCCAATATTGAATAATATAGTGCGAGATCGCTCGAGATGACTTCCAACGTGCTCCAAGAAGCACCAAGACCGCTCCAAGACGGCCCCAAGTGACCACGGAGCCTTTCAAGGAAGCTCACGAGATGCCAAACACCATCCACACCAACAGACAGCCACAGATTTCTGCCTTCACCCGTTTTCGCTTCCAATGAACTGATGCTTCATTCAAGGTGGCTACGAATGAACCAAGAGAGCCCGAAGAGAGCTCCGAGGCGGCCCCAAGAGCGCCCAGGAGTGCACCAAGCGCGCCCCGAGAGGCGACTTGTCGGGCTCCAGACGGGCCGCCGATGTTAGGCGACCCGCCGCTTGGATAAAAAACATCATAGGGAGACACAACACCTTCCAAGGACTATGACATAACGGGGGGTTCTGGGAAGCTTTTGGCCCAACATGCCTTCACGATGGCTCTACCTAGCCCCAAATGGATGGCAAGACGGAACAAGGTAGCGAAAGCTCGCCCAACATGACTTCCAACATGCTCCAAGAAATTCCAATACGGCCCCAAGACGGCTCCATGTGGCAACGCCCCCGAGAACCCCAAATCCTTCCAACGCCGATGGGAAACCATTGCTTTTTGCATTCTCGTTTTTGTTTCCGAGGGAATAATGAGGCCCCACAATGGCTCCAAGATGGCCCCAAGAGCGCTTTACGGGTGCCCCAAGAGGGCCCAGGAGACGAGCTTTCCGGCCCCGAAAAAGGCAACCCCAATGAACAACCTCTCCTTCTTTCGTCGATGACCTCCAAGGTGGCCCCAGGAGGGCCTTACACGTCCCTGATCAATGCCAAAGTGGCCCCAGGAGGGCCTTACACTGCCCTGATCAATGCAACTCGCCTGGGCATCGTTTCTGGGTGGTCTTGTCGGAATATTTTTTTGTCGCAACCGCAGGTGAAGGCGCCGGCGGCGTCAAAGGTCGGCTCGGGCTACGAGCAGATCTAATTGACCTAGCGCGCGCACGGGCAATTCAGGGCTACCGCCGGGGGACGCTGGGCTGCGCCGAGGGCTGAGGCTGCAAGAGCTGCCGGGGGCTGCTAGGTGGCCGGGCAAGCGTGCAGGCACCCCAAGGACGAGACCACCGAGATGGATGAATTGGACCTTGTCGCCCCAGGCGCCAGAGGTCGACGCGCCACAGGCGTGGCGAAGCGCGGGGCTGCATAAACAGACCAACGTGCTAGGCTACAGACCAACGTGGAGGAGCACACATGGCCGATCAAGAAGGCTGAACCACTCCCGAGTAAACCAGCGAACCCAAATCACATCGGACCACTGGGAACGTCTTGTCGGAATGCGCGAAGCGTCTAGAAATTTCAGAAACATGCGCGAACCAAATCCGTGGCCTCTGTGCATCTCCAAGCGCGCACCCGCTCCCGGAGACGCCCACGCAGATGCCGCAGACGAGGTTCGAGAGCCCGACGGAGAGCCCGACAGCGAACATGCACCAGCCTGTGCAGATAATAAAGTGGCCGAGAGCCGAGAGGCCTGATCGATGAGACAAGGGTGACGAAGTCTGCCTACACGTCGTTCATTTCGAACCGTGCTCATTTCTAATTGTGCTCGTTTCTAATTGTTCCTGGCCCCCTAGTGGCCAGGAAGAGTCCCAGGATAGAACAATTGGAAATGAGAGGATCTGGGCCCCAAAAAATCAAAGAGCTCTCGAAAAATCAGAAATGAACAATGAGTAGACATGGTCCTCGTATGCCGAGCACATGGTACGAAGGCAGTAAAGTGGCAGCGCTCGGGCTCCATTCGTCCCCTCAGGTATACTTCCTGGTGCCCCGGATTGCCACGTGCACTTTTTCCTCTTGCCGCGCTGGCGAGAGCAGTCCGCGGGCAACTTCGGCGGTGGACAAACCTCCCTTTAGCAAACCTCCCTTTAGTGGAAACGGCCTGGGACCGAAACCGACGGACCTGGACCCGCAAAAACGACAGCCGCGACGCCCTCTCGCGAACCGAAAACTGCCAATTCGCTAATCGACGTGTCAGGGTAGGAGGTCTATCAACCTCCGACAACTGAAGCACGGGCGGGATGCACGCTGAGCAAGTTCACCACCCTTGCGTGACAGCGGGTGCAGAGCTGGCAGCCCAGGTGCAGTCCGAGCAGGGGCACGCCGAGCAGCAGAGGCGTGCGGTGCAGGGAGATGAGGGCGCGATGGGGAGCGAGAGCACGGGCAGGCAGCCATCCAGGGAGGGAGAGGGGTGGAGGAAAAAGAGAGAGAGAGAGAGAGAGAGAGAGAGAGAGAGAGCGAGAGAGAGAGAGAGAGAGTGGGAGAGCAGCACCACGAGTGTGACGAGCACGACCGAGACCAGCAGCGCCACTACGTCCAGCACGTCGGCGAGCAGTATAAACGAAAGCAGCAGCACCACGAGTGGGGCGAGCACGACCGAGACCAGGAGCACCACTACGTCCAGCACGTTGGCGAGCAGTACGACCGAGAGCAGCGCCGCGAGTATGATCAGCACGACCGAGACCAGCAACATCACTACGCCCAACACGTCGGCAAGCAATACGACCGAAAGCAGCACCACAAGGGTGACGAACACGACCGCCACCCGCAGCACCACTACGCCAAGCGCGTCAGCGAGCAGTACGACCGAAAGCAGCACCACGATTGGGACGAGCACGACCAGCACCAGCAACACCATTACGCCCAACACGTCGGCGAGCAGTACGACCGACAGAAGCACCACGAGTGTGACGACCGCGACCGGTACCAGCAGCACTGCCACACCCAGCGCGTCGGCGAAGAGTACGACCGAAAGAAGCACCGCGAGCGTGACGAGCACGACCGAGACCAGCAGCACCAATACGCCCAGCACGTCGGCGAGCAGTACAACCGAAAGCAGCGCGGCGAGTGGGACGAGCACGACCGACACCAGCAACACTACCACGCACAGCAAGTCGGCCAGCATTGCGACCTAAAGCGGTACCACGAGTGGGACGAGCACAACCGGCACCAGCAATACCACTACGCCCAGCACGTCGGCGAGCAGTACGACCGAGTGCAGCACCACGAGTGCGACGAGCACGACCAGCACCAGCAGCACCACCACGCCCAGCGCGACGGCGAGCAGTACGACCGAGAGCAGCACCACGACTATGACGAGCACGACCCCTACCAGCAACACCGCTACGCCCAGCACGTCGGCGAGCAGTACGACCGAGAGCAGCACCACGACTGTGACGAGCACGACCGAGACCAGCACCGCCACTACGCCTAGCACGTCGGCGAGCGGTACGACCGAGAGGATCTCCACGAGTATGACGAACGCGACCGAAACCAGCAACATCACTGCGCCCAGCACGTCGGCGAGCAAACCCACCGACAAAAACATCACGTTCGGGAGCAGCACGACCGATACCAGCAGCACCGCCACGCCCAGCGCGTCGGCGAGCAGTACGACCGAGAGCAGCACAACGACTGTGACGAACGCGACCGAAACCAGCAGCACCACTACGCCCAGCACGTCGGCGAGCAGTACGACCGCAAGCAGCACCACGGGGGTGACGAGCACAACCGAGACCCGCAGCACCACTACGCCCGGCACGTCGGCGAGCAATACGACCGAGAGCAGCACCACGAGGGTGACGAGCACGACCGAGACCAGCAGCAACACTACGCCCAGCACGTCGGCGAGCAGTACAACCGAAAGCAGCGCGGCGAGTGGGACGAGCACGACCGACACCAGCAACACTACCACGCACAGCAAGTCGGCCAGCATTGCGACCTAAAGCGGTACCACGAGTGGGACGAGCACAACCGGCACCAGCAATACCACTACGCCCAGCACGTCGGCGAGCAGTACGACCGAGTGCAGCACCACGAGTGTGACGAGCACGACCAGCACCAGCAGCACCACCACGCCCAGCGCGACGGCGAGCAGTACGACCGAGAGCAGCACCACGACTATGACGAGCACGACCCCTACCAGCAACACCGCTACGCCCAGCACGTCGGCGAGCAGTACGACCGAGAGCAGCACCACGACTGTGACGAGCACGACCGAGACCAGCACCGCCACTACGCCTAGCACGTCGGCGAGCGGTACGACCGAGAGGATCTCCACGAGTATGACGAACGCGACCGAAACCAGCAACATCACTGCGCCCAGCACGTCGGCGAGCAAACCCACCGACAAAAACATCACGTTCGGGAGCAGCACGACCGATACCAGCAGCACCGCCACGCCCAGCGCGTCGGCGAGCAGTACGACCGAGAGCAGCACAACGACTGTGACGAACGCGACCGAAACCAGCAGCACCACTACGCCCAGCACGTCGGCGAGCAGTACGACCGCAAGCAGCACCACGGGGGTGACGAGCACAACCGAGACCCGCAGCACCACTACGCCCGGCACGTCGGCGAGCAATACGACCGAGAGCAGCACCACGAGGGTGACGAGCACGACCGAGACCAGCAGCAACACTACGCCTAGCACGTCGGCGAGCAATACGACCGAGAGCACCTCCACGAGTGTGACGAGCACGACCGAGACCAGCAGCATCACTACGCCCAGCACGTCGGCGAGCAAAACCATCTCGGAGCCGACTCGGCAGCTGCCAATCCCCTCACAATGCTGTGCCTCGCAGGCCATCTCACGTGCGCTCTCGCGGTGCTCACCTGTCTCTCTGTGGACCTGCTGCTTGCCGTACTAACGATCGGGCGGCGCCTCATGGCCAGGCCCTCCAAGGCGTGCGGACTCCTGCAGAAGTCTGGCAAGAAGTACGCTCTCGCGATCGTCCTGCTCATTAGTTGCCTGCTGGCCGATGCGCTTACGGAAGCTGCAGTCGGTGCCGCCGGCTACACGATGACGCTGGCCACGGCGACATTGAGTGCCCCGACACCTTGGGCTCCTTGTCACCACGGCTGGACTCAGCTCGAAAACCTGGCCAGGAAGAACCAAGCTTACGGGATGGCGCCAGCTGCAATGGCCGCGACGTGGAGCGAACTGGGCTTCGACTGCACGCTGGGGTACCCCGGGGAAGGCCCTGGCGCGGCCGCGGCCGCCACAGCAGACGATATGGACACGAATGCGCCAACCGACGCCGGGCCCCTCGAGGCAAGACACGGGCGGATTCGGGTGCAACGAAGTGGCGAAGCCTCCCGCTCTGGCACTGCTGCTGCCGCCGGGCCTGGCGCCCTACCAGACGACGCTGCCGGCTGCCGGGCAACGGTCGCGGCGACGGCCACAAAAGGACGCCGCGACGTGGTATGCCACGCTCCCCCGGACGGGCGGAGCAGCTACGTGCGTGATGTGTACTTCCATAGTACCGCCGCAGGTGATCCGCTGTCGCACAAGCGTTGCGCCGCAGAGCCCCGTCGCCTGCTTGGAGTGCGCTCTTGTCCGCGCCCAGACCAGCAACGCTGCCCTGGAACTGGCCGACGACCTACCTTTTGTACTCAAAAGAGAAGTTGAATACAAATGGGCTGCCGTCGTCACCGCGCCGGCGCCGCCTGCGCCAGCCGACGCGCAACTCCAACTCGACACGGCCAGGCGCGCCAGCAGCGACACCAACGCCGAATGGGCGGACGCCGTCGCGCCAGAAATGGTCCAACAACCAGGGCCCACGGCCGCCCATATACCGCCGCGCGCTCGCGGGGTGGTGGGCGCCATCATAACGGAGCGCACGAAGGCTTTCGCCCACGAGATCCACCACGGCACCCCGGAGTCCATCACCAAGGCGGCCATGCGTTGGTTCATGCTCCCTAAGCTGCTGCTCGGGCTCGCCAACCTCCGAGGCGGCAAGAGAGGCAACGCTCAGCTCACTGGCGGCCGCCCTGGTCCTAGCCGGGATGGCCTGCTGTGTGCGTCCGGTTTGAGGCTCCCCTGCGTCTCCACGCATGACTTTTTGGGGCCCGAGAGGGCCCGAAGACGGGCCAAGAGGGCTCCAAGAGGCCGCCAAGACGGTCCAAGACGGCCCCGAGACGCCCAATGATCGCTCCACGACGCCCAAGATGGCCCCAAGACGGCCCAAGAGGCCCTCAAGACGCCCCAAGAGGCCCCCCCGGAGCCCCAAGGCCCAAGTAGCTAAATTTCCTGCAATGATTACGAGATTTTGGCGTTCTCGTTTTGTCGGCTTTCTGACGCACCAAGATGGCCCAAAAGGCCTCCAGGACCACCCCAAAACGGCGAAGAGGCCTCACAGAGGGCACCACGACGGCCTAAGAGCGCCCCGACACAGCCCAAGAGGCGCCCAAGAGGGCCCCAAGAGGGCCCCAAGAGAGGGAACACGAACCAAACATCCGAGCCTTCCCCTCCAAGAGGCCCCGAGGAGGCTCCAAGATACGCCCAGGAGACCGCAAGAGGCCTCCAAGAGGCCCTCAAGAGGCCCACTAGAGGCCCCCAAACGGCCCCCAAGAGGCCTTCAAACTGCCTCCAAGAGGCCTCCGACGAGATCCCAACGGACATCCAAAAGGCTTCGCACCCACAACCCAGGCACGGTG